TGATGATACCTGATAGCCTGGTGTCAGATGGAAGGGGAGGAAGACCATGTAGCCATTCCTGATGAGACCTGATAGGCTAGAGTCAGATGGAAGGGGAGGAGAACGGCTTCTATTAGTGGACTGGGGCAGGAGCAAGGGAGAAGAGAGAGGAAGAGTGGAGTTGGGAGGGATGAGGGCAGGGTCTACAACTGGGATACAAAGTGTATACATTTTAATTAATAACAAAAATAATTAATTTAAAAAAGTGTCAGAGGTAGCTGTGGCTCCTATTATTTTGAGTCCCACAAGAACACCAAGTTACAGAAACATAGCATATGTGCAGAGGGACTAGGTCAGATCCATGAACATTCCTTGATTGTTCAGTCTCTGAGCCCCCATGATCCCAGGTTAGTTGATTTTGTCCATCTCTATGAAGACAGCTACGTTAGGCTCCAGTCTATTCATATAGTGGAATATCATTAGAAATTATTTCATCTTTCCTTCCTTCCTTCCTTCCTTCCTTCCTTCCTTCCTTCCTTCCTTCCTCTTTTTTCTTTCCTTCTTTAGTTTGCTTGTTTTTTTTTTGTTTGTTTGTTTTTTGTTTTTTTTTTTGTTGGCCTTGTTTGGTTCAATCCTAGGTCTCTTTGCTATCCCACCTCTGGTTCCTGGATACCCACACAGTATTATGGGTGGGTTCCCTCTGTTGGCATGGGTCTCAAGATGAACCAATCATTGGCTGACACCTCCTACTATTTCTGTACCACCTTTATCCCAGTGTATCTGGCAGACAGGATAAATTGTAGACTAAGGTTTTGTGGCTGGATTGCTGTCCCAATCTAACCACTGGATATCTTGCCTAGTTCCAGGAGATGACCTTTTCAAACCACTTAACTCCCATTGCTAGAAGTCTAGCTAAGGCCACCTTCATTGATTCCTGATAGTTTCCATTGCACTAGGTTCTAGACAGTCTCTGAAATGTTCACCAATTCCCTTTTTCTCTCCCAATATACTCTTCCTTTACCCTCCCCACACCTGAACCCTCCGGCTCCCATCCCCACCTACCCCTGTCTACCCATGTTCTCCAGTCTATTTCCCCTTCCCAGGAATATCATGTACTCCCCCTCTCCCTGCCTTGCCACTTGAGTACTCCGTTCTCTGTGTTTGAATCTGTGGATTATAAGATGATCACAGTTACTCACTTCCTTCTAAAAACTACAGAATTTCTATTCAAGTATACCACAAAGTGACATGGTGAAATCTTGGCCATTCATGGGTTATGTTTTAAATAAGAATGCAGTTTAGAGTGGATCTGGGGGAAAGGCAGGGTGGGAATGTGGAAGGAGGGGGAAAAACAGTAGGGATGTAAAGAATGAGAGAAGAATTTTAAAAATGTAGTTTCTTATTAGCTGGAACTGAACACTTCACCTGAGTTCTAAAAGAGACCAGTGACACTGAACTGAAATCTCACTTTCTTCTGTGTGTCTGTGGGACAGTGGTGGAGTAATCACACTACCCATGAAGCCAATGTGAGAGGACAACATGGGAAAATAGGTTTTCTCCTTCAGCCATATATGTTCCAGAGAAACAACTCAGGATATCAGATTTGGCTACAAATATCTTTCCCTTTCCAGCAAACTCATCACTTCTTGAGGAAATTTTAAAGTGTACCTATAATCAGAAGCATTTTAAAAATTATCTTTGATATGAATAAAAAATATTATCAAAATATGTACCAAGTGTACACTTTTCTTATTCATATCATACTTATTTGGGCTTCATGAAATACTTATACTCAAGTAAAATATTTTGGTTAGTGTTTATTATGTGGTATGTTTATACTTTGAAACAATTTTTTCTCTTATTCTATTTTAAATTACAAGAGTAATACACCTTCTTTATGCAATGCAGTTGTGTTCTTTGAAAATGTCTAATTTTTAATACAAGTTTTCTACACTTTAAGTGTCTTAGCTCAGGCACAATTAAGTAAACAGCCACTTCATGTTGTACTTTCCCCACAAAATAATGCTATGGGTGACTTAGGGCACACATTGACTAAGGAACACAGAGCAAAGAGTCCTAGTAAGAATGCAAATGGCAAAACCAGTTGATTCTGCTAAGAACCTCTCATATGGCCCCATTCAAGACAGTATCTTAAAGATATATGAATAATAATCATCAAATTAGTCTCAAATTAAAAGCAAATAATTATGAATATAGATATTTATTATAGATCATGAAATTAAAAAAATAATTATTTTATCTTCATCAATATTTTACTATTGTCTTCACAAATTGTTTAATTGAAGAATGATATTTATAATGATTGTCTCCAGATAATGACCTTTATACCTTGGGAATACAGATGTGTTTAAATAAATTGGTTGATTTAACATTCTTAAAAAATACATAGCACTTGATACATTATATTCATTAATGTATATATATTGTATATATAATATACATATATATGTATATATATACATATATATAATGTATATAATTCATTAATATTGTATTGTGTTGATCTTTATTATTCTTATTCTTCTATTATTCTTAGAGTGCTGTTCTCAAATTTACACAGCCTACTGAAGAAACTCTGAGTTCTCTTAGAATATAACAGATTAAATCATGTATTTGTAGCGTTTCCTTTCTGAAGCCACTCTAACTTTGAAAACGTAAGAATTAATATAAAGAACACATCAAACAAAGAAAATTAAATAGAGCATGACAGTAATAACAGTTTGCTGATACTCTTCAGGCCTATTTTCTGGTTGACTATTTTTTTTTTCTGTGAGTCCTACTTGCTAGAAACAGCCAATAAGTTCTTTTGTGTCTATTTGGTAAAGAAACTTGCACATTTATTGAAGATTATGGCCTCATGGGACTAATCACCTCCCAAAGGTCATCATGCTGGTAGCTCCTCAGGAGATATGATTTCATGGAGATACAAAATTTTACCCCATGAAAATACAATTATTTTATTATTTTTAATATAAGGCTGTAATATCAAGTGATAGTAGGACCTATGGGGTTTCCATTTAGCTTTTTCAGGGATAAATTAGGGCTAAATCACCACTTCTGCAACTCTTAATATAAAGCCAGGTGCATAAATTGATTAAACAGGCATGGAATCTTATTATAGTAAAATTGTGTCTCAGAGCATCAGTTCTCTGACATATACAAGAACACTGAACTGATATACCAGGCATTCTTCCTTATTTGTGACTCAAAATGGCCTGTAATTTTAGTATCATGGGATCTAACATCTTTCAACCTCTCTGGGTATCCATACCTGCATACTTACACACACACAAAGACACACAAACAGAGGCAGAGAGAAAGAAAGAGAAGGGGCAGAGAGAGGGGAGAGAGAGAGAAAAAAAAGAGAGAGAGACACATGCACATAGATTAAAATGAAAAAGTCTAGTATCCTGAAAAGACATTTTAATTGCCTATGAATACTTTATAGTAAAAATAGTTAATGCAATAAAAGTAAAAGCATGAAATGATTTTGTAATTAAATTCTTTTTTAGTTTAATTTAATTTATATGTTTATTTCTTACAATTTATTCACCTGGTATCCCTGCTGCAGTCCTCTGCCTCATCTCCTCCCAGTCCTACCTTTCCTCCCTCTCTCTCCATATGCCCCTTTCCTGGTCCACTGAAAGGAGAAGACCTCCTCCCCTTCTATCTGACCCTAGCGTATTTGTTTCATCAAGGGTGGCTGCATCATCTTCCTCTGTGGCCTGATAAAGCAGCACTTCCCAGGGGGAGGTAATCAAAGAGTCAGCCACTGAGTTTATGGCATGGACAGCTCCTGTTCCTTTACTAGTAAACCCACTTGGAAATTGAGCAGCAAATGGGCTTCCTTTGAACAGGGGGTCTAGTTTCTCTCCGTGCATGATCCTTAGCTGGAGTATAAGTCTCAGCAGGCCCTCTTAGCCCAGGTATTTTGGCTCTGTTGTTCTCCTTGTTGTTAATTTCTTGTATATAAGAAGAATCCTCAACAAATAAAACAATTCAATTAAAAAATGGGTACAGAGTTAAACAGGGAATTCTCAATAGAGGAATATTGAATGGCAGAGAAAGAGAAACAATTGTAGAAATGCTCAACCTCATTAGCCATCAGGGAGATGCAAATCAAAACGACCCTGAGATTTCACCTTACACCCATCAGAATGGCTAAGATGAATAGCTCAAGGGACAACACATGCTGGAGAGGTTGTGGAGAAAGGGGAACTCTCCTCTACTGCTGGTGGGAATGTAAACTTGTACAACCACTCTGGAAAGCAATCTGGCACTTTCTCAAACAATTAGGAATAGTGCTTCCTTATGTTTATCTTATATCAATAAGTAAGATATAAATGTATAGGTAAATGAATGCTATAGGGCATACAAATGTATATGGAAATGCTACATATATTAAATGTTATCTAATAATAAAAATTATTTTTACCAAGTGATTTTATGTTATACAAAATAACTGTAATTTATGAACAAATCTTTCTAAATTATTTGAATATGAATTTAGAAATATACACCAAATATGTTACTTTTTAGGAAAGCTGAAATTCACTTTATTGATTTCCAAGCTAATGAAAATAGTAATTCTGCAATGAGAAAATTCATATAATGATGAAAAACTCTGTAACATAACATACCAGTTCAGCTTATCCAACAATAAGAAAAATAAATTATTATAATTGAAGTGATAGTATTTCATAAGACATAAAATTTTATCATGTGAGAAAAATCTGTGATTTCCCAAAACAGAAGAAAAATAAGACTGATTTTACTTATTAACCTAACTCAGATATCCTAAACTTAATCTGAGCTAATTGAACAGAACATTAAATGACTAATACCCTAATATATCTTAGCCAAAACGGGATGGATTCATATCAGATGTTTATTAATGTAATCTGTCATACAAATATATATGAGAAGGACAATGTGTTCTTTATTTTCAATTGTTACAATTATTTTAATTGTTACAATTTTTACAATTGAAAATAAAAAGCATGCTCACTTCAGCAGCCCACATGCTAACATTGGAAAAATATAGAGCAGATTAGCATGGCACCTGTGCAAAGAGAACACTCAAATTTTTGAAGTCTTCTGTATCATTGAGAAGGAAAATACACACACAAACATACACACACATACACACACACAAACACAACTACCACCACCACCAATGGAAACAAAATAAAAATTATTAGCAACCGCTGGTCATTAAGATCCCTCAATATCAATGGACTCAATTCTCCAATTAAAAGACAGAGGCTAAGAGAACTAATTTAAAACCAGGACTCATCCCTCTACTTTGATATAAGAAACACACCTAAAAATCAAAGATAGAGGTTATCTCAGAACAAAGAGTTGGAAAAATATTTTCCAAGCAAATGGGTCCAAGAAGCAAGCTAGTTTAGCCATTCCAATATTTAGCAAAATAACCTTCCAACCAAAATTAATCTAAAGACATGGGGAAAGACACTTCATACTCACCAGAGGAAAAATACACCAAGGTGACCTCTGAATTCTGAATATCTATACCTCAGAAACAAACATACCTGAAGCTTAAATAATACATCAAACCCCACACATTAATAGAAGATTTCAAAACCCCACTCTCATCAGTGTATAAGTCATCCACACAAAAGCTGAAAAGAGAAACATTGGAGCTATCAGACCTAGTGAATCTAAGGTGCCTAACAGTTATCTACAGAACATTTAAACCAAACGCAAAATATATACCTTCTTCTTAGCACCTCACAACACTTTCTTAAAAACTGACCACATAACTGGTCACAAAGCAAGTCTTAACAGATACAGGAAAATTTCAGCATTGCCCCTGTATGTAAGACCACCATGGACTAAAGCTGGACTTCAACAACAAAAACAACAACAACAACAAAATCAATAAAATAAATTAAAAACAACAGAAAAATTCATGATTTCTTTGTTTTTAATTGTTGAGTAGTATTCCATTATGTAAATGGAGATAGAAAGACTTGGAGGGGTCAGGAACTCCAAACGGAGACCAACAGAGCCGGAAAACCTGGGCCCAGAGACCAATATTTAACTCAGTGAGGGGATTATAAACTTCATGCTGAAGTAGGCCATTTCCTCCCCAACACGCTTTTGACCATGTTCTTTATCATGACAATAGAAATCTAACTGGGATATCAGACTGGCAACTTTCACAGAAAATTGCACCTGTGCTTGAGGTATAGATTCTCAGGTAGCCAGAAGCTCCAGACAGACTTCTGAGTGAAGGGTTCCATTTCCTCCCTTGTCTTCTTAATATCCTTTCCACCATTTTATCCTTCCTCACATGTTGCTGAAAAATATTATCAAGGCTGTAACACATTTTACTTAAATTCTCAAATTCATTCTTCTGGTAAAAATTTTAATTTTAACATATAATCATAATTTTCACCTAAGACATGTGGCCAATACTAATTGGTCTTAGTAAGTCATGTATTAATTTATAAGAAGAGACGATGAGTTCAAGAGGGTTTGGGGGCATAAGGAGGAGCTGGAGTCGGGATAAAGGGGTTAGAAATGTTGCAAGTAAAATATACTTGTCTATGATGTAATCAAATATTTTTCAAATTAAAACATTGCTAATTGCTTTTAATTTAATTGTAAACTATGTATTCTTTGCATGGGATTTTTCAGACATTTTACAATTTTATTGAAACATTTCTTTAACCATTTGAGTTTTAAAACAGCATCTGATAATAATTTCATGCTGTAGTTGATAAACAGCACACTATGTTTCACTATGGGTTACCTTAGATACTTAATTTTTTGAACATTTGCTTTAATTTTTTAAAACTAAATAAGATGATTATCATATTCCCTTCTTCAGTTATTGACTATTATGCCTTTTTCATCTGATAATGGCATTGTGTGTGACTGGAATACTCCAAAAAACATAACTGTATTGACATAATGAGACCCTGATTCTTGCAAGATAAGCACTTTTACTCTTTAATTAATTTGCTTTGTATTTGCATTACATTGATTAATGTTTGCAGAACAGTACAGTGAGTTTATAGAGATCAATAAAGAGCTGGAGGAAAAGAATTGAGATACTCTGTAATGTTAAGTGGCTGCAGAGAGAGAAGGAAGCATTTAAATACTAAATAATTTTATAAACTGCTAGTTTCATAGTGATTACATTCATGCTGTAGCAAATTTTGTTTATCATCTCAACTTCTATCTACAGTGATTCAGAGAATGAATGGATAATGAGGATACACTGTGGATTCATTCATTTTTGTTTTGTATTCAATTTTCACTTTTCCTTTGTTCTCATTGGGACCTTTTCCATCTAAAAGTGTTGTTCTATTCCTCTGCCTCCAATTAGATTATGAACTCTGTGAAGTTAGCGGATTTTCACAACAATAAAGCCTTAATACTAATAAACAGTGATTGCATATTACTTCTAGACAATAAAGCTGAAGTATCTTACTGACTCTATATGATAGCCTAACAGAAACTCTGCTTTTGGTTTACTATTCCCATCTTATATACATACAAGGAAACTAAAGTGAGAGCAGATTGAAAGAGATTCTACAGCTCATACATTAGAAAAGTGGACTGAGGTTCAAATACAGATCACATATGACATCTCCTAAGTTTGGGTAAATGGCAGTGAAATAACATCTATTCAAAAGAACTAATAAATGCAAAAAATTTTTTACATCTTTCACCTGATGAATGGAAAATGGATATATGGTACATACGCATGCACTGTTGCTCATTTATAAAGAAAGCTGAAGTGATGAAAGCTGTAGGTAAATGGAAGGAACTGGGAAATATTGCATGGAATGAGATAATCAAGACCCAGGAAGACAAAAGCTGCATGTGTTGTTTATAAGTCCTAGCTGAGAAACATTAGATTTGAGAATATAAAATAAGTTAATCCAAAAAGCCGGGGTAAGTTGAAAGGGAATGGAGAAGGAGGAAAAGGAAGAGGAGGTGTTCTAGAAAGGGATTAGCAGAAAACTTGTCAGGAAAGTGATTGTCGGAAATATGTAGAGAGACTTAAATTGGGCACAGAGAGAAAGGTAATATACGGAAAAAGGAGAAAAGAAATAAATAACATTAAGGATGTTTAAAAAATTATGCAAGGAAACGTTTTTTATGAGCTTACACATGGAAAAATAGTGCTTTTCCCCAAAAGCCTCATATCACCCAGAAAGAAAAACAAAAATAAAAACAAACAAAGAAACAAAAAACAAAATACTGTGCAAGCTATGAAAAGAGCCTTTTGTCTTGTCTTTCAAGGGATAAAATGGTCTCTCAGAACGACGGGACACACTACCGTTGCCCTTGTTTATATTCCAGAAATTGAATTAAGACACTACTGCTGTTATACTCCGCAGACATTGGAAACAGCACTTGAAAAAACCCAGCTGGAACTGATCTTGAAGTGTCCTCGTTAAGGACTCATCCTTGTTGAGTTCATAGTATGAAGGTGTGTTCCTGCATTTCTAATCATTGATTGCTGAACCGCAGAGACCTGAGTACTAGTCAGGTATGATATGTATTTCTATGGCCTATCACCGTCATATTTTCTAAATATTCGTCCTTCGTCACTTACCATGTTCTGGGATGGAAGAGGAGGGCAGAACTCCCAAAAGAGAGAGAGGCGGAGCGTGATTCTGGAAGAAGAAAGACGGTGCTGGAGACTGGACATCAGACATAGAGGTAAAAGAGATGGACCAGAGTGGAAGAGAATTAGATCTAGACCCATGGCAAGACATACAGCAGGATTAGTTGGGATAAAGTAGATTATCTGGCTCGGGGAATGCCAGAGTTAAAGGGATAAGCTTTATAATATTAAAAGTCCTCTGTGTCATTATTTACACTACTGGTGGGTCTCAATGTCCTACTATACAGTCTCAAAATACCAGATAGTGCTGGGCAAACTGCAAAGGGAGAGAAGAAATTTTAAATCCTTCCTAGCTGTGAAGCCTATGAACTAAAATGACTGGCTCAGAAACTATATCCCCAATGTTCAATAACGGGCGTTTTACCTTGGAGGCTAACATGCGAAAGTCTGATTGGAAGTAAGGTTCAGCCAATGGGAAAGAATCATGACTGCTACCACAAATATAGACCCATGCCTGTAGAGGCCATAAAACCTAGAGTAGAAACTCTTACTTTCCATTTATCTGAACCTCTAAAACAGCCAAATAAAAATGTAGATTTAGATGAGCGAATAAACAATAAATGTATTAATTAACTGATAAAATCTTCATATTCTAATTTTATTACCTCCTCTTTTGCTAATTTTAAGTGAGATTTTATTAGTAATAGAATTATTCTTTTTGTGAGGCATATGTCATTGATAATAACTTCTTGCAGACTCTCCTTTTGACATTAAGATGACTAGTGTGACTGAATGTGCTCAGCTTGTTAATTCATAAGTGTGCTTTCATACAAGGGTTGGATCAGAAGGTTGATTCTAAACTAAATTTTGAACCATTGGAATCCTGACTATTAACATCGAATTTGGGTTACGATGTTATCAGTAATATTATATAGGGGTTACAGATGGCTTGCTAATGGCAAAGTTAAAAAGTATTGTAATCAAACACTAAACAGGGCAAAGAACCAGAGTGTATTATAAAGAATGCTTTTGTGCATTAGCCAGCCAATCCTTTTAAGATAGTATATCAAATTTTGAAAATTAAAAATTTTATTGTTGTTTCTGTTGTTGTCTAAAAGTAATTAAAATTCAATTGCAAGATAAACTTTGAGAACAAATTTACTGCTGCCTAGAAAGGGTCTACAGTAAAAAGCCTTTGGTCCCTTGCTTTCTTGTTTTTATTTTACAAATATTTCACTTATATTAAAACTTGAAATATTTTTCTGTGATTCCCTCTTTGAGTAATAACTTTTGTTTGATTGTTAGACTGATTTTCTTTCTCAAGTTTTGTTTAGATGCAAGCAGAGAATTATACAATATAATTTGTAATTATTAAAGTTCTTGCCTATTATATATTTAAATGACTATTATAAGTATTTTCAAAACTAAATAGAAAGGGACAAAAGCATCAAAATTTTACATTTCATATTTGTAGCTTAGTAAAATAAATAATAAAATTT